TGTAATTACATTAACCGAGACTGAGATTGATCAAACCAGAATAAATTATAGGCATAATAGTTAATAGTAAAGATTTTATTAGTCAATCTTTGTAAATGTAATTATGATATTTATTTATTTTTAATGGAAATGAAATACTATGTCTTACAAAAATAATATACAATTAAAAATTTTGTTAGATTAATTAGATTTATTTTAATAAAGATTTCATCAATTATTAATCTTATACTTACAGAAGTCTTACTCTGCTGATAATAAGAAATTCCAAGCATATATATTGAAAAATATAAAATTAAATATGAGTGAAGGAAAATCAATCTTCCGGTTTTTAAACAAGCATTTTCAAACGCGCGTGTTTCGTTGCCAGAGAAGCAGAAAGACGAAATTATTCAAGAGCCAATTATTAAAATCTCCATCGTAAGCGAGCCCCTGTTACACTTGGCATGACGTGGCGTTAACCTACTATCAAAGGTCAACTTTCAATAAACATTCTATCAAGTGTCAAAGGAAGACCTTTGTGTTTAAGTCATTCCCAGATGCGTATTTTTCCTCGTCTGCGGTTTCTTTTTTTTACTCTTCTGTCTCTGTTTATCTTCTTTCAGCAACTTCCACGCTGTCGCTGAATATAAATAGTGTCCATTATAAGAATCGGCTCTCCACGGTCTCGAGCTTCCGCAAAAGACGAAGAATTTCCGACACTTGTTGCTGAAACGCTTTGATATCCGCCGAAGACACATCTTTCCGAGCACGGAGATACCAGAAAACGTATCAAGGAACGTTGTTTTGGTTCTTGGGATTCAATGTTGACGCGATTGCTTGTTTCTGGATGCTACTCCGTCTGAAAATGAATGCTCATGCTTTGGCTGTGGATTTTCCAGGTCGAGCAATTGAATCTCCAACACCGAGTGTCTCCGGAGGATATTGTGACGATTGGTGTCTTCATTGACGCACAGAAAGTATATAGAATGCATAATATACGTTCAAGTTGCAATGCTTCTCTAGTACGTAAAATAATTCCTTTTATTATCAAAGTTACATTATTTTGATTATATTAATATTGTAACGTTAATAATAGCATTCAATATTGCATCATATTAATGATGTTAACATCGAAAATATGAATTTACAGAGTCAGCAGTCTAGGGTAAGAGATAAGAAATAGCGAATAGAGTATTTCGAAGAAAAACAAATGTAATTTTTAAATCCCTTATCACGTTATTATCCGTACTTATAGTCTTTTAAATTTTAATCTTCCGATCAAAGATATATATACGGATCTCGAAAATTTAAAAACGACTAAAAATTAAAACGATCAGAATTGTTTTTCTCTGCAAGTCGTTTTAGAACAGTGTGCACCGTAGACGAAAATAAAACGGTTTGATAGATTTCGTCAGACATGTTGATACTGATATTAAGCGAAGCTACGAGTCATAGCGATACGCATGATAAGTGATAATGTCAAAACAAGCAAGAGCGTAACAGAGATCGCATTCGGATGGAAAAAAGAAGGCTATGGAATAAAATGAGGCTCTAAGCCTCTTAGACTCATACGCGTCTTATATAATTACACGCATCACATAAGACGCTTCTCATTTTGATTCGTGCGTTTGGTGCGAGATTTGAAACGCAGATTGAAATTAACGATTAAAGTAAAATGTCCTTGTCGATAACAGAGACGCTTGGATTGGTCGTCGCTGTTTTTCTCCTGATTTATTATTACTCCGTATCGAAGTTTGAATTTTGGCAGAAGCGAGGCGTGAAAGGGCCGAAGCCTATCCCATTTTTGGGGAACTTCAAGGATGTATTTCTGGGAAGAAGTTCGATTCACGACTGCTTCGAGAAGGCATATTACGATTACAAGGACGAACCAGTGATCGGCTTGTATGCAGGAAATAGCCCGTTATTGATTCTGAGAGATCCGGATCTGATGAAAGATGTCCTTATTAAAGATTTTCCCAAGTTTGCTGATAGAACGATTCGTCCTTGTCGAGAGGTATGTAATATTATATTTCACATTTTAATTACTGAGATTTCGATACCAAGGTTCGTGAGTTTACTTGGAAAATGTGAAAAGTTCATGTCGTGATAAAGAAGGATGATGTGAAATTAAAAATTTATTATTTAAAAAACTTTTCAATTTCATGCCATAAATATATATCGTGATGAAAATGTTTATAAACATAATTCGTTTATTAAACGTTTTACAATTAGAAACATCCAAGTGTTGAGGCTCGTAAAATTCTTATTCTTATTAGATTAGAATAGTAAAGTCTTGCTCTAGATTAGAACAATAAAGTCTTGCTTTTTTCAGAGATAAATATTATTTATAATTAACAAGGATAGGAAGACGTACGCACGTCTGGTTAATACTTAAAATACAATATTTGTGGAACTTACAAGACAATTTTGAAAGAGCGCGTTATTTTCAATTCCATAATAATTTTTTTGACCTCCTTTAATTCTTTTAATCTAACTTCCTATTATTCTCAAGTTTCTTGATTTAAATTTTCTGTACAGACTTGTTCTTTTAATCGTAGTAAAATCGACTACAGCGAAATTTTGCATGAAAAAACAAGTCGAGAAGAAAGAATAACATTTTTTCATTTAATACTTCGCCCTCGAGAAAATCAAGTATACTTGAAGTTGGTTAATTCTGGGCTAGACAGAAGATCGACAGGACGTTATTCTGCTTGCAAAAAGACGTGAAAAATGAGAGTAAAATAAAATTTTCCCGTTAAAAGTCTTGTTAAAAAAAAAAAAAAAAGTAGAGTGAATATGTTTTGTTAAGAGTTGTGAAAATTTCACGTTTGAAAATTTAATTTTCTTGGAAACGGAGAGTGTTGTGAAAAAGTTTTATTAAATAGTCGATTATTCATTAGTACCCACTTTGAAATTAATCAAATTATTCAAATTCAAACATTGATGAAAACCTCAATTTTGTTGTGAAAACGAAGTCTTAAATGAAAAAATTTTCATATATATATATATA